GTACAAAAATGCTTGAGGTGTCATTCGATTGAAAATTGAATAAGAAATTGAATGAAGATATTATTATAAGTGCCACTTGAGTCTGAGGTTGGACATTTGAGTCTGAATTTTTTAAATACTGGGAAATTAACGGAAATTGCTTTATTTAAATTGTAATAACGCTGGAGTCAGCCTTTATACCCATAAGCTATTAAAACTACTAAGCAATTCGCGCCGAACGCTGGTTGTCAGATTTAACAAAAATAATGAATTGAAGTAAGTTAAGGAAAACGAGTAATTTAGTTTTAAATATCATTTCTAAAAAAATTTTGTGAATATCAAATTTGGAAATTAACACATAAAAAATATATGGCCTGACACCATAGTTAAGGTAAAATTTAAATCAGGGTTTCGATCTCGAATTTTTAAAAATCCGCAAATTTGATCGAAAAAATACGCATTTTATACAAAAATCCGCAAAAAATTATAAAACACAAAAATTGAATTAAAAATTTTTAAATACAACAATTGAATTGTGCATTTTTATCACTAATGATCATATTATGAAAATCCGAACAAACAAGACGCCTATACGCCTATTTTTCAGATTTTTAAAAATTTTTATATCATGTAAAGGTTAATGAGCCAATACGCATCTCTTTTTAGTAGACCTGGGCGGAATCGGGCGATACCGATTTTTCTGATCCGATAGCGAAAGGTAAATCCCGATACGAAACACACACCAATGATTCAGCCCTGGCTTACTCCTTCAGAATGATTAAATTTCCACTGATAGTTTATAAAGTTAAGCATTTAAAAATAAAAAAATGGAAATAACTTATGAAGAAATTAATTATGAAAAAATTTTGTTTAAAATAAATTTTAAAATTTAATATAAGAATAAAGGTAAAGAGGCAGCGAAGTCGATTAAATTAAAATGAGGGCTATAAAATTTAAATAAATTAACTGATTAGTGGTTATTAGAATCGAGAATTTACAATATTTTACCAAAATATACAAGATTTTACCCAATGTACATGACAAAAATTTACAAATATGGACTTATTTTATGGACTTATTTTTCAAATATGGACTTATTTTTTCGTTAGGGGGGAGCGCAAGGGTTAATTTAAAAAAGTAAACGCAAAATTAAAAGAATTTATTCTTTAATCATGTTTAACAATTTTATCTTCAAGGCTTAATAATGCTGATTATTAAGTTAATAAGCAACCCTTACACAGTCAAAATTAGTGTAGCAGAAATCCTATCAATATTAAAAGAAAAGATTCAAGGATTAAGAATTTCCGAGTTTACATTTTTCTGAAGAGAATATATGTATATTTATTTATTTGGTTTTATATTTATATTTTCTTCCAAAATTTCCTTAAAAAATAGATAATATTTCCCATTTCTCAGTTTTTATAAATTAAAGGTTTGAAATGCGATTATGAAAAGATAATGGACTCTCATGCTATTTATTAAACAAAATCTATTACAATTAGAAAAGCTCTTAAATCTAAACTTTCAGAGAATCTTACAAAGAACTCTGCTTATTTCCCTAAATTACCAAGTTTATATAGAGGTAAATTACTAAGTAGAGGTAAATTACTAAGTTTATATAAGATAGTATTTCCCATTTCTCTGTTTTTATAAATTTTGAAATATGATTATGAAAGGCTAATGGAAGTTCATGCTATTCTCGTTTCATTATAAATAGGGCGTGTCAAAATATGCACGGAAAATCCCAAAATATGCGCATATATATGCACCGAAAAAGGCCTAAATATGCACAAAATTTCCCAAAATATACACGAGATATGCAGCAAAAAACAGTAAAAATGTGCTTCAAAAATTAATATTTTAAGTAAAAATGATGATTTAGTCTTTAAAATAGCAATTTAGAGCACTTCTAAAACATTTTACGGACTTTAAATTTATGAAAAAAAATTTTTGAAATAAATTTTCCAGAAATATTTTTTGAAAAAATTTTTCCAAAAAATTTCTTTAAAAAATTTTTGAAAAAATTTTATATTATGCTAAAAAATAATTTTAAACTACAAATTTCTCAAAAAATGCCAAAATATGTACAAATTTAGGTAAAAATATGCAAAATTTCCCAAAATATGCATCAATATGCAAATATGCATGAAAGTACCGAAATATGCAAAAATATGCTATAGGAACACGGTCCCTAATGTTCGTACAGACGTAAAAACACCATTTTTGAGCGTTTCAGCTCATGGCATATCCGCATGCAAAATATGCATTTGCATGTTTTGACACGCCCTAATTATAAATTTTCTCCATAAATGTAATGTTTCTATCATCTTACTACTAAGATTATATATTTCTATTCTGTTCTTCTCTTTAATCTTTATTTTTAACTTTATTTCAATCTCAAAAGAAAGACGATTTTCTAAAAATATTCTTATAAAAGGAACAGTTTCACAAACAAATTAAAATTTTATTAAACAAAATCTATTACAATTAGAAAATCTCTTAAATCTAAACTCTCAGAGAATTTTACAAAGAACTCGGCTTATTTCCCTAAATTCTTATGTTTATATAAAGTTTCTAATTATGGAGCTAGTAAAAACTTTTTTTAATTTAAAAAAATATTTCTTTCTAAATTATTACTCTTTTAATATAAACCAGTGTTTTTATACATGTTTTATGCGAAAAATACAAATCTTCTATTTTAATATTTATGCTAAGGTGTAAAATGTAAAAGCAAATAAGGATTTAAAAAAATTTCTTGTTAAAAGAAAATTAAAAATAAAGGTTCAAAGGAGAATACCGTATTTTCTCGATTAATTCCCTGGGAAACTATTCTTCCAACATCTCGAGGGAGGGGACAAGGAGAGGGCATAAGGAATTATTTGAGAGAGGGGAATAATTGTGTCAAACACTCATAAAGTTAAAAAACTATATAAATTTTCTCAGCTGACGATAAGATTGTTTTTCAAACCGATGTTATTGCCTTTTGTTCAAACATCAATTTTATTGTTTTGAGGTGGGGAATTATTCGAGGGTGGTGAATTAATCGAGAAAATACGGAATTGTGCTTCGATTTTTGCCCAAAAAAGACTAGAACGGTACGGTTCGATAAAAATGAGGCCCGAAAAAGCTCGATTTAAAAACGGCAACCATAAAACGGAGAGTAACAATTTCGCTAAAAAAATAAAATAATCCCAACTTTAAAATAAAATAACCCCAATTTAAAAATAAAATAATCCCAATTTTAAAATAAAATAACCCCAATTTAAAAATAAAATAACCCCAATTTTAAAATAAAATTCGCAATCACAAATCCTCTATCACTTTTTTCTTCAAAAATTTTCTGTAACATATACCTTTCTTTTAATCTATGTAAGCATTAAATAATTTAACTCTTTTCCCTTTTCGTTCTCCTTGAGGATCCGAAGAGCTAGCCTCGCCTTGAATTTGTTGTGGGGCATTTCCTTTTTTAAAAATAAAATTTATTTTTAAACAATTTTTATATTTTTTAATAAACAATTTTTTAGTTACTCATTCAGATAAAATTTATTTTTTCAAAAATTTTATTCGGATTGGAATTGGATCTAATCCAAATTAAGAAAAAAAACTTTCAACAAAATTTTTAGTGAATTATAACTTTTTCCCTTTTTTTCCTATTTTTCTCTTTTACGTAGAGGAAGCTAACAGAACGTTTATCGCACAAAGAAAATACGAAGAAGATGAAGGTTGTGGTAGGAAGAACTAAACTCAGACTGTCGAGTTTATGTATGTTATGCAGACTGTCGAGTTTATGTCTCTTTTACGTAGAGGAAGCTAACAAAAAAACCCAGCCAATATTTATACATATATTTTTATATATTTTTTATATACAGGGTGCCTCAAAAGTCTTTGCCCGCACATTTTTTAGCATAACTTTATTAAAACTAAATCAAATAATGTAAAAATACAATCAAATAATAGAGAATTAAATGGAGAACAAAATATATTAGGATTTTTCGAAATACCTCCCTTTGGCTTTAAGATAGAGGCGCAAACGCAAGCAAAAATTTTTGCAAAATTGCCGCACCTATTATGGTGTAATTTTTTCCCATTTCTGAACGAGTGATTGTCGGAGTGACTCCAAACTTTGGGGTTATTAAGCAATGAACGTTGCCTCCAAAATTAATCAAAAAGATAAATCCAAGGATTCAACCCCGGTGTGTACGGTAGCCATTTTTGAGGCACACTAAAACCGAGAAAATTGGCAACAAGACAACCTTGCATCACTTTAGCCTTATAATCAGGGGATGAATTCTACTTATAGATCCAGTTCCTATACCAAAAGTTTTCCCAGACCCAGTGCTCTAAAAATACTGAAGGATTTCGAGTAGATCAAAGTATTTAGTTATTTTGACCCAAGGATTAATAAAAATCAAGGAATTTTGATCGTTTTGCAAATAACAGTCCGTATCATTTCAAGGGAAGAGTTTTGGAAATCCTTAACAACTGGATAAGAAAGAGGAGATTTTGAGGCCCAATATCAGTCATTTTTGCGATTCGAACATATCTCTTTCATAAAAATTTTGGCATCTGAAAAGAGGAACCAAGGAGGTGCGGCAATTTTGCAAAAATTTTTGTTTGCGTTTGCGGCTCTATCTTAAAGCCAAAGGGATGTATTTCGAAAAATCCTGATATATTTTGTTCTTCATTTAATTCTCTATTATTTAATTGTATTTTGATCTTATTTGATTAAGTTTTAATAAAGTTATGCTAAAAAATGTGCGGGCAAAGACTTTTGAGGCACCCTGTAGGTATATTTTTTACTTTAGTTTATTTATGTTGTGTATGGGCGTCAGCCCTTAAAGTGTTTAGTATAAAAACCCAGCCAATAGTTAGTTCTCTCTCCCAGTTTTAGTATTCTTCCTACCATAATCTTCATCTTCTTTGTATTTTCGTTGTGATAAACTTCTGTTATCTTCCTCTACGTAAGCGGGGCCGTAACAGTTCCCCTTGAGGATTCGAGAAATCTATTTTGGGGAAGAGAACTATATCTTACTATTTTTTAATTTATAAAATTTGTCTTTGATTGAATCTAATCGGGTTTTTTGACGGTGATAATTCGCGGTGTGTTCCAGCTTTTTCAACAAAAATTCTATCGTTTCTATCTGAAGCCATTGTTGCCATTCCTCAAGATTAATTCTCGGTTCTCCATAAATTTTCTCCATAAATGTCATCTTTCTATTAGCTAAAGTCGACAACGCCCGGTTGCCTACAGTAGGATGTGAATGAAATAATCTATCTGTTTGGAACAATTCAGTGCCAACATAAATTAAAGATTTATTACAGCGGTTTTCCCCAATAATTTGTATGTCGACTGTATAAAGTATTACACCAGTCATAGTTGTGTCATTTGGTATTAACGAAGCTCTATCATTTGATTCTACTTCATCGCAAGTAAATTCACGATTAACTTCATTCTTGATATTAAAAAATAAATTTTAACTAAGGTAGTTCCCCGAGCCTTCGGGGTCGTATGTATCGAGGATCGGCGGCTGTCGGGGTAGAGCCTTTGGGGTTTAGGTCGGGGTTTTTGTCAAAGAAATCGTGGAGGGACGGGGAGGGACGAGAAGCTACATACCCTAATTTAACCATTAGACAGTACTTTTTTAATCTAAATTTACCTCATTCTGTTTGGCCATAACTAATTTATATTTGTTTTCGGGGCACGCTTTTCCCTCGTAAATGTTTGTAGCAACCGAATTTGGGACAAAATTTATGTTCAAGCGAGTGTTGTCAGATTGGCATTCAATTCTAATATTTTTGTAGTTATCATTTTCCAAATGATTAATTTTAAATTGTAGATGTACATCGTAATCGACAGATTTAACAAAAATAGTAAATTGTAGCAAGTTAAAGAAAATGAGAAATTTAGTTTTAAATATCATTTCTAAAAAAAATTTTTGTGAATTTTAAATTTAAAAATTAATAAATAAAAATACTATGAGTAACCTGACACCTTTAGTTAAATTATTATTTAAAATTTAAAGCATTCAATGTTTTTAGTCACGTTTTCCGTGTGTTTTCATGCGCCTGTATAGTAGGGTTGGTCCCCTCCCCCGTCCCTAAAAGTCGGGGAATTTGAGATTTTTTGACTTCTGAAGCATTTATGTTTATGTTAAGGTATTCCGATATCACACCAACTTCTCATAATGATCTATAACCTTAGTAAGCCTTCCAAATCCTTCGTTATCTGCTCTTAATCCGTTTATTTAATCCCCCGATATTTCCCTTAGTCAATGATATCTGCCCACAGTCACGATATCCAATCCTAATCATCATCGTAGTTCCCTTAATATCTCCACCAAACGTGTTTATGAATACGAATAATATCTGTATATACGCGGATATATGGGATACGGACGGATTTGGATAGTGGTCCGACTTTTTTCCGCCGTGGTTTATTGCTTTGTTTAAATAACTATAGAAAAATACACAGTTAATAAAGCTTTAGTTTTTATTAGATTTTATTATTATTTTATAAATTAGAGTTTTGAAATGTTAATATGAATGGATAATGGAATCTCATGCCGCTTTTTAAGCATGCGTGTCATGTTAACGCTACGTGTTACTGAATATTAGAGTTTTGAAATGCGATTATGAATGGATAATGGATTCATGCTATTTATTAAATAACGTTACGTGTCATAATGCCCTTTTTTATTTTATTGAATATTGATTTACAATTATTTAAAAATTTTTAAATAAAAATTAAGATTTAAATATAAATGTTTAAATAAACAAATACAAATTGTTTTGATTTGTTTGTATTATGAATTATTGAAAATAAATTATTTTGAAATTATCAAAATAAAATTTTAAATAAATTTTAATTTAATAGTATCAATACAAGAAAAACACCAGATATTCTTTTATGTCATTTTAAGTTTTAAAATCCCTAATTAATAAGTTTAACACAGAATTTTATCGTTAAAAATCATGCACATTAGAGAAAAATATATATTTATAATTATTTAAACAGAATTTCCTTCGAAATTAGGTAGTCGTTAGTTCTCAAACCATACCTGGTCTGAGAACAAGACGGATATTTTAGCCTTGATAGAATCTGTTTCTTCGAGCTTTTAGGGGGTATAGCTCGAAGACCCGGCCCAGACCAATTTAAGAACTCCAGATAACCCCAGATAATTTAACCCCAGATAATTTAAGAAAAACCACAGTTATATGCTCGGAAACTTGAAAATAACGAACTCTATATATTTTTAAATATTTAAATATATTTTTGGCATGATAAATTTTTTTGAATTTTTTTCTTAGCAAAAATTTTAATAATTAAAAAAATTATCGCTTAAATAATCGCTTAAATATTTTATAGTTTATTTAAAAATTTTAATTCATATCGGTATTTCTTAAATTTTTAACATTTAGGATTTTTTTAAGTATTTGTTCCTTGCTTCTATTTATTTCAGTCATATTTCCGGTTGGGGTGTCCTGATTTGCTTCTACCGATATATTTGTTTGAGCAGGAAGCGGAAAAGTTAATTGCCTCTTGCGGCGCTTCTTTCCCAAGAGTGCCAATAGCAAAGCAGTTGAATCACTGCCGCCACCCCCACAACAACAGTCACATCCGCAACCTCCTATATAAGAAATATTTATTTTTAAGAGTACATAATTTAATTAATAGGGATCGGATTTTTAGGTTGTAAAATCCTTAAAATAGGTACCTAAATATGTCGTATAAAATGCCAAAATAGGTGAAAAATGTAAGAAAATAGGTTGAAAAATAGGTCGACTAATGTGACAAGAAAGGCAGCAAATTTATCAAAAAATACCCAAAAATTCGCAAATTTTGGTAAAAATATGCAAAATAGGCTGAAAAGAGGCAAAATAGGGCATTTTGCCAGTAAAGTTAAAATAGGCAATTTTAGGCAACGATAAAACTAGTTAGAAAGCAGATTTCAGTGAAATAACACTGGATTTGAACGTTTAAGCAGCAGGCCTATTTAGGAAAAAAACAGGCATTTGCCTAAAAATCCTTACCCTAATTATTAGTGAATGAGTTTATTTTAAATATCAGTTTCAACCTACCCGTATTCATGGGAACCATAGTTCCACTAACATTCATCATTTGAGTTGTGTTGTTGCAACAACAACAATCACAGCAACATCCAAACGAAAATTCATATAATACAAATCCAGATAAAAATAAAGCAAGTAAAAATACGGCAAAATTCATTTTAATATTTAAAGATTTTTGGATATAAAATTTAATTAAAATTAACGTATTTTCTAGATTATTTCCCCTAGGGAATTATTTTTTCCTTCCATGGCATGGGGAATTAATCGAGGGAGGGGAATTATTCGAGTTTTGGTATTTGAACGTGCAGTAAGGTATTTGGGGGTGGGGAATTATTGTTTCAACCCAACTCTAGCATGGGGAATCAATCGAGAGGGGGAATTAATCGAGAGGGGGAATTATTCGAGGAAGGGGGAATTAATTGAGAAAATACGGTAACTGCTTTATTAGGTAAAATTAAACTTTGATCCCCGCTTATTTCTCCCTCATAAGTTTAAAAATGGTCATACTTAAAATTTGTTACAAAACTTATTCTAAGGCTATAAGCATCAGTTCTGCTTTTTAGAATCCTTTCCAACGTTGGGAGCAAGGACGAGCACAAGAGACAATTACTAAAGCGCAACGCCAGGAGAATTATCATGCTTAACGAATTATCAGTGGCCTACGAAGAATATTGAGTAATTTTAAGCGATTAAGTAGATTTAAAGAGATAACATAGATTAAAGAGGAATATTATTTGAGTTGGCGAGATATCAGAGGATAATCTCATAAAATTTTTTAAGATAGAGAACTCTAGCCGCACAGAGTTATGGTACACTTGCACAGTACGGGAGCATTATTCTTAAAAAGCAGAACTGGGACTTATGGTCAAAGAGTAGTATTTGTAACACATCTTAAGCCTGACTATTTGTAAATTTTGAGGAAAGTGAAAAAAGGAGGAGGACGAAGTTCAATCATATGTACCTTTAATTATTATTTAACAGAAAATTTGTTCCTTTATAAATGATTAACCTCAAAGTTCTTGTTAATCATTAAACATTAATATTTATTTATCTTAATTTATGTCAAAACTGGAATATACATTTATAATTTTTTATAAAAAACAAAAACAATACTTAACAAAAGAACACCTTTATTTATATTATTTTTTCACTTAATTCACTTTTTATTTTTTCTTTTATTCTTTACACTAAACAAATACATATTATTATTTTATTTATAATGTAAATTAATGAATTAAAAAATTAACTCAGAATATTGCAAAACTAGAATTCTGATTTTTAAATTCTGGCTAAATAAAAAAATTCTGATCTAATAAAACAAATTTTGATCTGATAAAAATCAGAATTCTGATTTTCAAAATTCTGATTTAATAAAAATAAACATAAACAAACATTCTGATCTAATAAAAAAATTAAAATGTGTTCATATCTAAAATCAGAATTTTTATTTCAAAATGTATTTTACTAAACCAGAAATTTATTTAAAAATACTATATTATTTTATCTACCTAAATTCTTTTTTAAAAAAACTTTATTTAATTAAAATTAAATATTTAAAAATAAATAGAATATTAAAATTAATTAGTAATTGCACTTTAAATAAATATAATTTAATAATTGCTAAGGATATTAAAAAAAATTTTTTAATTGAAAGACTATTTTTGAATTAATTGAAAGACTTTTAAATTTATAAATAAATTAATGCCCTATAAAATAAATAAATTAAAAATTTAAATAAGAGTAATTTTCAACATTTCTCCCAAAAAAGTACTCAAATCTGCCGTAGAAATACTACCCCCACCCCTATTTATGTGTGTTCCTCCAATGACAGCCAATGCCTTTTCACGGCACTCTAAAAGGCGATAGCGGAGAACTTCGTTTCGTTCGCACCATTGGCGAAGTTCTAATTCGAGTCGGCGAATGCACTGTTCGGCAAGGAGACATTTGGCATTCAGGCGTATTAATTCATTCTGATTTAATAAATTTTGGTAGAATGTGCTTTTGTATTTTATGTTTAATTTAAATTCTGATTTCTATTAAATTTATATTCATGTTTTTAATAAATTCTGATTTTTTTATTTTATTAATATGTACGTGTTTTTGTTTTAATTAAATTCTGGTTTTTGTCTTTTTTGTTTTGATTAAATTCTGATTTTATGAAGTTTATATTCATGTTTTTAATGAATTCTGATTTTAGTTTATTAATAAGTGTTTTTGTTTTAATTAAATTCTGGTTTTTATGTTTTTAATGTAACTATTAAATTATGATTTTCTTATTTAATTTATGCATGTATTTTACCGTATTTCCTCAAATAGTACGGCCCCCTCAATTAGTACGGCCCCCTCTATTAGTACGGCCCTTTAGGTGAGGGTTGAAAAATAGTACGGCCCCCTCAATTAGTACGGCCCCTCAAATAGTACGGCCCCCACCTAAAAAATATAAAAATAGGCAAAATTTGAATTTTTAATCATAGTAATTATTCATCGCAATATTTAACTTATTTATTAAATCTTAATATCTATTGGCATAGAAATTGGAGGGCTTAAGAGGATATCGGTGGATTAATGGGGATTTTATTGGATTAGGAAGGATATCGATGGAATTGGCGTGATTTGAGTATGGATGAATTTAAAAGGATTAGTTGGGAACAAGGTGAATAACGAATAGTCAGATAATTTATCGATATCTCGTTCAGTCTCCCGACTTCTTATCACCCCTTTAATCACTCTAATTCTTCTTAATCTCTCAACTTTTAAATTAATTATTCACGGTTGCACAAACCTAACACTTGACGCTCGACAAAACACACAACAAAACTCGATATGGAGGCCATTTTAAATGCAGCCTTAAATTTTAAGGTCTTTGGTAATTTCAGTTTGGATCAGGCATATAATTAAGTCTAAGTTTCTAGACACACGCTAGTGTGTGTAATAAAAAACAAAAAAATTTCGGCCGTATCTGAAAATAATGCTGCAATCATATTTTTTCCTTCATTTTTTCCTTTCCATATTTTTCCTTATTTTGTACAGAAAGGTCAGACTTTTTCACTCGTTCACTTCCAATGAATTTCCCTGTGGCATGTTCAAATGTAATTATACAGAAAAGATTAAAAGCAAAAAATAAAAAAATATTACATTTTTGTGCTGTAAAACATGGACAGACAAAACACGGACGAAGACGGACAGAACATACGGACGAAACGAGCAGACAAAACACTGACGGACTCGGACAGAAAACACGGACGGACTCGGACAGAAAACACGGACGGACTCGGACGGACACAGACAGACAAAATACGGACGGACAAGGACAGACAGACAAAACACGGACAAACTCGGACAGTTTTGACAAAACACGGACGAACTCGGACAACCATTTTTAAGAATAAGGAAAAAATATGATTGCAGCATTATTTTCAGATACGGCCAAAATTTCAATACACACAGACTTAGTTCAAGGTGGCATAACCAAAAAAATTATTCAGAAAATTCCGAAGGAGGGTTGAAATATAGTACGGCCCCCTCAATTAGTACGGCCCCCTCAAATAGTACGGCCCTTTAGAAGAGGGTTGAAAAATAGTACGGCCGGCCGTACTATTTGAGGAAATACGGTAAATGTTTTTATTAAATTCTGATTTTTGTATTTTTATTAATGTTTTGATTAAATTCTGGTTTTGATTGAATTTATATTCAGTCTGCTTTAATAAATTCTGATGTTATTATTTTGTTATTTATTTTTCTGATTTTTGTATGATTTTTAATCTATGATTAAATTCTGATTTTTATAAAATTTTATTTGTGTTTTAATTAAATTCTGGTTTTTATAAATTTATATTAATGTTTTAATTAAATTCTGATTTATGAATTTTATCATTTATTATTGTTTTCTAAAATACTTTTCTTTACCTGAAATGTTGTGTTGCACGCCTCCAAATAGGAAGAGCGTTCGTTGACTGCTAGCAACTTTGGTTTTAACAGAGCACATTGCACACATGGTTGTTCTTTCGAAGTTTGTTCTGGGCGATGATTAGTGTTTATAATCGAATGTGTATTTGTGGTTAAAATTAAATCGTTTTCCGAATCTGTTGGGGAAGAAGAATTAATTATAGAGGGAGAGGTTAAGGTTGAGGTTTTGTTTGTTGCTATTTTTGTTGTTTGAACAATTACAGAGGAGGAAGAGGAAGAAGATGATGAACAATGATTTGAGGAAGTTGAACAGGAGGAATTTAGACAATTAAAAATATTAACACTTTCATTTGTTTTTGTTGAAGATACTGCATGACCATGTTGAGATGAGAACTGTATTTTGTTTTTATTAAATTCTGATTTTTGTTTTTAATTAATTCTGGTTTTTGTGTTTTCCTCTATATGTTTAAATTAAATTCTGATTTTAATATTAAATTAATACATGTTTATATTAAATTCTGATTTATGTAAATTCTGATTTTTGCTTTCAGTTCTAAGGTTTTTAACAAATTCTGATTTTTTAGTTCTAATGTTTTTATTAAATTCTGATTTGCGTATTTTAATTTTCCATGTTTATAATGAGTTCTGATTTTTGTGTTAAGACAACGTGTTTTTATTGAATTCTGATTTGTGTATTTTAGCTTTGTATGTTTTAAATTAATTCTGATTTCTGTATTTTTCTTATGTTTTTAAAAAATTCTGATTTTGTTTACCATTCCATTTTCATTGTTGCAATTATCAACATTTATTGTAGTGTTTTCTTGTGTATTTTGTTCTGTTTGTTGGCGGCTAAAAATGTTGCTCCATAAATTTGCTAAAATAAAATGTTGTTGTTGTTGTTGTAAAAGTTGGTAGGCCGATGTTATTGTTGAATTATCCTCAGCATTTTCGTTTGCTCTATTGCCTGACTCGACTACCCTTAAATTAGTTAATTAAATTAATTTTTAAAATTAAATTTTTTAAAACTGAATTTTGTTGCTGTTTTTTGAATTATTTAATTTTTGTATTTGCTCTCCATTTTTATTTTCATGTTGTGAATTTTGGTATTTTTCTGGAGAATTTGGTGGATGATGGTTTTCTATTGTTGGCAATAATACATCTTCTGAGGAAGTACCATCATTTGTTGTGTTATTACGATCCTTTAAGAGAGGAAAAATTTTTTTAAATTAAGTTAGGTTAGATATTCCAATTTTATCTTAATACTATAAGAAAATTTTCGAGATGTTGTTTGTACACATTGAAGAGGGTAGAATGAGAGGGAGATGAGGAGGGGTGGGGGAAACTACACAAGTTGACATGGAGGGAGGGGTGTTGTGGGGGGGGGGGGTATAAGCGATTCCCATGTCAATGGATACACACGTCACTCAAGGGTGCTCTATCAAAAATCAACAAATAATAGTAGTGCTCGGAGAAATGGATCTTCTGGGTTTTGGATTTTACACTCGTTCCGAGATGAATTAAGGCTCGGATCTTCCCACCCATCTTTAAATAAAATAAAATTTTACTTTTAAATGTTTTTGTAATTCATTTTTATCACGAAATGCCAGATTGCAACAACGGCATAAAATAACACGGCGGCTTTTTTGGTAATGTACTGTAGACATGTGAGAGCTTAAGGCAGCTGTACCACCTAAAGAGACAGAATTAATAAATTTTATTTTCCACTAATTCTGTTTTTAAAGCTTAACATTCGATGGACATTTGCGGATATCTAGGGTGGAATAAGAGGGAGAGGTGGACACCAATGAACTTAACCGATTAAGAACTCAAAACTTGACATGACCAAAAGATGGCTTAATTTTTTGTCTAGAAATTGGAAAATTCTCTTTTCTCTTTTTCGTCGCAAAAAGGATTCCCTCATTAGGATCGTTTGGGATCACGAGACATTGTTCCAAATTTCCAGACTTTAGTTTTTCAGGGAATATTCTGTTCGCAATCTCGAAACCTGTGTACATCCCCTAACATAACTAACTATACAGTCGGATCTCGATAAGGCATCAGCATAGGTATCAAGTTGAGTCAACGTCTAAATGAAAAAAATCTTCCTATTTGGGGTGAACTCTCGCTAATACACAACTTTTTAGACCTAATTGTGTAGGCCTAATAAGGAGAGTAATGTGCTAACTGGGGAGATGTGTTATCGAGACTCGACTGTATCAACTCAAAAACCACTTATCATCTTCTTCTTCGTTTCCATTCAAATCCAAATTTGCCTCAATCTCTCCATTCTTCCAACTTCCTTCAATTAATTTATCAATATCTTTTTTATCACACAAAATATTAAAACAATTATTGTTATTATTCAATTCTTCCTCCTCTTCCACATCCACAAATAAATTATTTCTTCCTCCTCTTCCCCCACCAATATTTTTATTATTCTTCATTTCCCCATTAATCAATTCCAAATTTTCTTCCCCCAAATTTATTGCTGTCCTCAATTTTCTCTTCCTCGAACCGGCAAACCCAGCACATTCCAAAGCCCTAACATATTCCGTTTTTCTTTGCAAAATTCTACAAACATTTGATTTTGCAATAGCGTATCGTTCTGCTATACTTGCTTGGCTTAGATTAGTGCAGCGTTCTGCGAGGCGGATTAATTCGACTTTCTGTTCTAAGGTTAACTCTTTGTAAGGCTTTTTCTTCTTCTTTTTTGGCATGTTTGTGGTTGGCATAATGTTCGTGGCTGGCATAATGTTTGTTGTTGGCGTTCTGTTTATTTCGTTTTTTAAATTATTCTCGTCCTCATTAACGCCAATAGACATAAAATTATTCTTATAGGAAGAATGAGACATTTGATCCTCAAATCCATCCTTATTTCCAAAATCATTCATTGTTGTCATCAACATTTTGGTAGAAAAGAGGGAAAAATTGTTTGTTTTATTGAATTTTTCTAAATTAAAATTTTGAAGGTTATCATCTTCTTCCTGAAGTTTCAAGCTGTCTACACGCCCAAAATTAATCTCTTCACAATTTTTCTTCAATTCCTTCCCATTCTCCTCAAAAAATCCAAAATTTGCGTTCAAAAACTTTTTTCTCTCAAAATGGGACGAAATGTCATTTTCTTCCATTTGTTGGGCACAACGCCAAGAATTATTAAAATTTAAATTGTTTTGGGGTTTGAAAGAGCTAGTGCTTTGAATTGTTTTTTTTAGCTTCATTTCATCATTAATTTCTTCGTTAATATCTTCCAACGAATTATTTTGTTGTTGTTGTTCCCCCTCCCCATTCTCCCCCATTTCTGTTTTCATCATTGCAGTCAAAGCTAAACCGTTAACTATAAATCCGTGTAAAACTGAGGTTAAACCGTTGTCATTATTATTAGAATTGTTGTTAGTTGAAGAATAATTGAATGATTGTTGTGATTTTTCTGAGGATTCTGAAGTTAGTAGTGAAGAAACAGAATTGTCTAAAACATCGCCATTCATTCCCTAATTTTTGAATTTATGTATTATTTAAAATGAGAAAGTAAGGTAAATGCAGACCTGCCCTTGGATACGGATATGGATACAGATAATATCAAAATGCCTGCGGATATCCGCCTGTATTTGCCTGTATCGCCGTAAATATGCGGATACGGATATCTCAGTATCCGTGACCAGGTCTGGGTAAATGTAACAATAAAGAAATTATGAAAAGTACTGTATATACAAAATATAGAGACGCATAAATCCGGAATTAAGAATTTTCTAGGGTTGTATTCATCTTGGTCTTGCTAGCAACAAACTCGCAATCCGTAAGAATCAGAAAAGGTTTTCTTAAATTTTTTTCTTATGCATGGGATTCTACAGGATTTTTCTAGAGGATTAATCCCAGGATCCAACAATCCAAAAAATTGAAAGAAATCAAAGGATCTCTGAAAATCCCTCAGAGGATCCCTCTCAAGACACCCCTATCTAATTGCAGTCTTTGCCTAGAGTTTTAAAAAATTTTTGGTCTTCGAACAACGATTCATAATATTTTAAACAGGAAATGAAATATTTAACAAAAAAATTCATTTTTTAAATTAGAGACTGTAAACCGACGAGATCTCGATTAAAATCTCGATTATCGAGATCGAGAATTTATCGAGATTTTTCGAGATCTCGATTCTCGTACGACACTCCCAGTCCTGTCTCTAGTTCTGATTTCTTAAAGTCAATCTTAGTTTAAAAATACTTTTACTATTTTAGTTGTTTATTAAAGGATATAATAATAATTTATTTTGTTGCAAAGATATTTTTTTATTTTTTAATCCTTTTTTAAAAATAAAGCGAAAAATGAACAGATATTAATTAAATATTTAAAAGAAAAAAACAAAAAATGAACCGGAACAAATAGAACGTTTTTTAGCGCAACTTTCCACTCTCCTCATCAAAAATGAGACAAGTTAAGGCGAAAACTGAACAGTTTTTTTCAACTAGATTTTAAATAAATTAAAGAGGGGGAAGGGGGAAACTGGAAGAATAAAGGGATTAATGATGAAATTTGGGAGAAAATTTAAATGAATGGGGAGATTGAAGATAGCAAATAAGGGTTGATTTTAACGGACAATGACATTTAAACCAAAAATTAAAAAAATAAATTAGGAAAATTAAAGTACAGTCTTGCTATAAGATAAGTTAAATAATACCTAGTGTTCTCTACGAGAGGATAATCTTGAGAGATTATTATCTCGAGCAAAATTAAAATTTTTTTAAATTAATTTATTCTTTCGAGATTATCGAAAAACACCGTTAACTGAATAATTATAAAGCTAAATTTAAGGTATACTTTTAAAATTTTGTTTGCCCAACAAGTGAGGAGCTGTTAGGAACACTATTGACGGAGGGAACACTGTTTACAATCAGTTACAGACCGGGTTGAGAAGTAGGGTCTATTTTTCGTACTAGGCTCTACTTTTCAACCCGGTCTATTACTAATTGTGAAAAGTATTCCCTCCGTGAAGAGTGTTCCTGACAGCTCCCTCGCCTATTGGCCAACCAAACTTTAAAAAGCATACCTTAAATTTATCGGATCGGGTTTACAAAATTTGTCCTGATCGGGTTACGGATCGAAAAAATGTTAGCGTTTGTCCGGCTTTCAGGCATCAACAGAGACGGGAAATCAAGTCACTCTAATCTAAGGGACACTCTACCACATTAAATTTGAATAACCAAAAAATTAAATTTTTCAAAAAAGAATTCCAAAAATTATTAAAAACAGGGGAGACGACGAGTTGTCTGTCTGGTTTAAAAATAAAAGAAAATGAACAAGAAAGAAACAAAAAACAATAAAAAATGAAAGATAAAGCAAAGAAATATCCGCTCTTGTCTCTTTTTTCAAAATAAATCCTCTTTTTTATGCTAAATAAGAAAACAACTTTTCTTTTCAAACAATTATTGCGCGATTTACGCAATAAAATAAAGTTGCACAAACAGCTGAAAAGAAATCACGTCATCACATCAAGTCCAATTTTCCTTTTCTTTTTGTCTTCTATTTCCTTTATTTTCTATCATTTTTACGCCGATCCTTTTATTTCTGGCAATAAAAGTTACAAGAGATTACGGTATTTACATTGATAATGATTTCTGGTAAGGGAAAAATTTGTCCAATTTTTGTAAGTGTGGCGTTTTGTCAAATTTCTGTATGTGTGGCATTTTGTCCAATTTCTGTAGGTGTGGCGTTTTGTCCCATTTTTGGAGGTCTGGCGTTTTGTCAAATTTTATGTAGGTGTGACGTTTTTTCCTATTTTTGCCTCTAAGACATTATGTTCAATTTTTGTAGGTGTGCGTTTTGTCCAATTTTTGTAGGTGTGGCGTTTTGTCCAATTTTTGTAGGTGTGGCGTTTTGCCAATTTCTGTAGGTGTGGCGTTTTGTCCAAATTTGTAGGTGTAGCGTTTTGTCCAAATTTGTAGGTGTAGCGTTTTGTCCAAATTTGTAGGTGTAGCGTTTTGTTCAATTTTTTGTATGTGGCGTTCTGACTAATTTTTGTGGGTGTGGCGTTTTGACTAATTTTTCCCAAAATGGCATCTTGTTCGACATTTTACCAACGTAACAATTTAAAGATCCATTCAAGAACAGATAAATAAAAAAAATTTTCCATCCAAATATCAAACCCATCTGATTATCAAAACTTTCAAATCATTCAAAATCCACCAAAAAACAGCTTTCATCTCCACAAACAATTTTCTCTCTATTAGCTAATATCGAGACGATGAACTTTTATATTATTGCGCGATAGAATTAATCTATTAATGTGCTCAATTAAAGACTTTTTTTTGCATTTTTGGCGTTTTATCCTGTTATACATATACGAGAATAAATTAAAAATTAAATAAATATCCCCCTCCTGCCTAATGAGATAAAAATATTAGAGAAAAGAAGGGAATTTCTTGTTTTTTAAAATATTTTTGGCCTAAGCACCAAAAACTAGTCGGGGAATAAATTAAAAAAAGAATTGCGCAAAAAAGAGGATTTTTATTTATTAAATAGAAAGAGAGGGAGAGAAAGCAACGGGAAGACAACCGCGGGAATAACCAACAAAAAATCTGTTGATGACGTTGTTAGTTGGACATTCTTTTTGGAAATTTGGATATATCTAATACATATTCCTTTTTTTATAAAGAAATTTGGAATATTTATAAATAGAAAAATGGGCGGATCCAATGGACTTTCTGACAAATGGACATTCTATACTTTTTGGACATAGTACTACCGGTTATTAACAGATACCCCCTTTTCGGTTAATCCAAATTTTAAAAACCCAGTTTTCGGTTTTGAGTTTTAGACAAATACCGGGTTTATTTTAGGGGAATTTTCAATAAAATCACTCATTTTCGCAAATTTTCGAGTTTTAAATTTCGTAAAAACGGTTAATTTATGCCAAAAAAATATCAAAATTTTCGGGTTTAAAACCGGTCGTGAACAATCTTAATACTACCTATCGAAATCCAATCAAAAATATCCAAAACAAACATGCAAATACAGGGTGATCAATAACGGAACCGGGCTTATAGGCTCCGAAGGAGAATTGTTTGGGCTACAAAATGAGTATAAAATATCAAAAAATGTAAATTATGAAAAGTTATGATGGAATGAAAAGTGTGCAATAATACATATGTATTCTGGTCACCCTGTAGTTACAAAAATAAAATTTTAAGCATCAGAAAAAATAAAAAATTAGCTAGTTGGGAAGGGCAACTAATTTATTACTAATTTATATTTTTTTCAGCGCTTTTAAAATGATTAAAGAATTTTACTTGAGAATGATTAAAAAGGGGAAGAAATTAAGTAAATAAATTAATTAAGAGAAATTCCGGAATAATTCCGGAATTGTGTTCTTTTATAGTATTTCTTGTTGCGCCTGTTTTATGAGAAGCAATCAAGCAAAAAACAAGAAAAGGTGATAAAATGATTAAAATTAATTTGTCAATTGGTTGAAAAAAGGAATTTAATTTTTGATATTTGCGGATAAAAAAACGAAAAAATATGCGGAAAATTTTAGATCCGAAGACTAATCCGGTTCAAAATTTCTAAAAAAAATTTTTATCGCCAAGAGAAAATACAGTTGATGATAGAGGTACTATGTCCCGGTCTAGCTGGAGTTGACATTTCATAATTTCGAAACAAAAATAACTGAATGACTAGAAAACGAAATAAAAAACAAAAACTTCGAAATGGAAAGAAAAAATCACGAAATTTCGAAGAAATCACGAAATTTCGAAAAGTCGAAAATCACGAAATTTCGAAAGACGAAATTTCGAAAATCACAAAATTTCGAAACAGCTTTGGGTCTTTACATTTTTCTTTCATTTAATCCTGGAGAATTGGAAAACTCAAAATTAATATTGTATACGAAGTCCGCAATAATATTGCAGATTTATGCGCAAATTCTAATCATCCTAAAAGTTTATAAAAAATCCAGATTTTCTTCTAAAACTAAAAAATTTTTGATTTGTGACGGAAATACTTAAAAAAATAATTAAAAAAAGGAATTTTCTTTCTAAGTACTCTTTTTATTTACGGGTCAGTTTTTATCAGGTAGTTGTGTGTGTTTAATTTTCTATATTCTCTTAATGCAGGTTTAAACGGGATTTGATATTATTATTAAAGTGATTGTGGTGAAATTAGGTGAAAGTCAATGAAGAACCTGAATTTTTATATACGGAAAATATATTTGTTATAATTAAAAAACAAAATTTAAGATAAGGAATGTAGTATAATAAAGCCTTTTAAGTACTTTAAGACATGTTCCGTTCGAGAGTTGCGTTCGAGAGTTACATACGAAAGATCGAAACGGGCTTAGATTTTCTGACAGAAAAAGATTCGAAAATGTCAACCCTATAGTATAAGACCAACCTATATTGAAGAAATAATGTAAACCGGAAGTGTAACTAAAGGTAAACTAAATTCTATAATTTTTTAAATTCCAATGTTGGAAAGCGAAGATTAAAAAAGTTTTCAGAAATCTGATTGAATTCTGTGTATAATCTACAAATCTCATAAAAACAGTTATGTATATTTCGATTCAGCTTGTAAGGCTTAATTGAAAGACATCATTTTTAAAAGACTACAATTTTTAATAAAAATTATTTCCTCGGAAAATAAATGGTCTTGTACTAGTACATGAGGACAAATAGTTTTTTTTTGAGTAAAAATATGTATGTAAATGCTTGGTATAATAATAATATTAAATATAATTTAAAGCAAATGAGCATTAAAGCCAAGAAAAGTGATAAAATAAAAATAATTTTTTTATAGTTTTGGCGTTGTGTTTATTTTAATATTTACACAATATATTTTATTAGATTTTCGGCCAAAACAATTTTATAATAAAAAATTATTTGTACAAGTTTTGTATATTTTCTAAGGGTATTTTGAGTGACCAAAAATTAGCATGAAGAAATTTTATGGTCATGTAATTTTATGGTTATTTATTTGAATTTTTTAGTATTTCCTAAAATAGATTTTTAAATTTTTTATTACGAATGTAAAGGAAACTAAATTTTATAATTTTTTAAATTTTTTGATTGGCTTTCTAGTCAGTAAAGGACAAGAAAAATATTTGTTTGATTTTCGGTAGTGGTCGGGGCTGTACGCAATTGTGGATTGCGAGTTGCGTAAATCTCGATGGTTTTTGCAATTGCGAGTTCCGTTTGCGGAAATTTTTTTTCAATTGCGTGCAGCCTTAGTCGAGGTTCAAATCTTGCCACGATTTGGGGTCGTGAAACTTGTCCGTACCCCTGTGTGTCAATTTTGAATTGAGGGGAAACAGAAATTGGGGGGATGCAGGAATTGAGGGGATGCGTTTCCTGGCTTGGAAACCTGCTCCAGGAGGTTCCTATGTTTGTTCCGAGTTCCAGGAACAATTTTTTGGAATTTGGGTAACTCTAATTGATGAAAAATTTTCTTAATTTAAAATAAATTTAAAGGAAAAATAAAGAAAAATTCGAAAAGATCAACAAAAAAGGTATACATTTTTAAAATAATTATTTTTTAAAAATTATTTTAATGATGCTGAAAGGAAATTGAGATAAACTTTAAAAAATATCCAAAATGAGAAGAAGAAACGAAAAAAAGGCCTAAGGCCGGATTAACCTCAAAAACACGCAATAACCAAAAAAATCACTCAATCGTTCTATTCCTTCCCTCTCTTTTTTAAATATTTTTTCACTCATTTACAATGTACTTTTAAATATTTTAAATGACCATGTAAAAAATAATTCCCTTCATGCCATTGCATAATAATGTTTTGTGAAATAATACAAATGGGTCAGTTTTTGAAAATTTTGTATAGTTGAAGAATGAAGTGCTTTGTTCCTACCTTAGTCACAACTCAGGAATTTTATCCAATTAGAGTACTTAATTAAAATCATAGCTTAATTGACATTGTCTATGGATACTAATTTGCTGTGTATTTAGTAATATTCTTTCTATATTGGACCGTGCCATACTAACAATCTTTATCGGCAGTACAGTATGGAATATGTACAATGTTTTGAAGTACATAAATTTTTTTATTACCGCTCGGAGTACGGTACGGTACAAAATTCAAATCTCTAATTAATTACAGACTTTTATAAATGAGATTAATTGACATGGTCTAATGTGTACTAATTTGTATTGTTCTTGGTAATATTCAATAGAGAAACGACCGTCGACTTTTAATTGAGAAGTACCGAGGGTCAGGTTTGAACCGACAGAGTTTTTAGTTAAACCAGCAATTTCACTATTTTCCCTTATCAAATAATCTCAATCAGAAAATGGTGTAAAAACGGCTCTCCAACACAAAAAAGCTGCGGATCTACGCAAATAACGCTCTATTATGATTGACTCTCTCAAATCGCTCTCTCTCAAATCGCTTTCTCTCTCTCTAAGATGACTCTCTCAAATGACACTCTTCAATAATAAGTATCTAAACCCACAATCACCTCAGAGTATTAATTAAAAATTTTTTGACTTACTCTGAATTTTCTCACCGCATAATCTGCACCTCGAACGTTTCACATGCGCCTGCATTTTATGCCGGCTTAGAGAGGATGAATGGCAGAATTGTTTACGGCATATTGCACAAGTAAAAACGCCTTTTTTAAAATTTTAAATTACAAAGAAATTAAAAATCGGACCTCACTACAAGAGATACCTAAGAGCTATAAATCGAGGCTTATAATGGGGGGGGTCCTTAGATCGAGGGCATCTTATCTCGAGGTTTTCCTTATCACGAAGGGTAACTTATAACGAAGTGTACCTTAACTCGAGGGTT